CCAGTCCCAGCGCCTACCCCTCCCGTACCAACTCCTGCCCCTTCCAGTCCCAACGGCCAAAGCCTGCCCCCTCCCCGTCCCAGCCACCCGCGACCCGAGGTGATGACTTCATCAGCGGGCGCTGCAACATCTCCAGCATCCCTACCCTGATACGAGCGGTCCGCGGTGGCGGAGTGGCATTCCCAGTCGACAGGACACTGATAACACCTTTCACCAGGCTACTACCGAGTACGGTTACACGCAGCAAGCGCTCCAGAACGACCGAAGACAGGTCACAGGCTGCCATGGGGCTCAGAGCTGCAGTCGAAGGATTGTTTAGACTGAGGAGTTTTATAAAGATTGGCAAGAGTAGTTCTTACAAAGATGGTTATTTCTCCTGAGGATAGGTCCACCCTAATTTCACCGGGTTTCATGAGATATCGTATGAAGTTTCATGGAGCATTATAAACTGATCTGGCAGGCTGGATCTGATTTACAACAGATAATTATTTCGAATTCGATTTAGGTACATGCTAATTAAATGCATGCTGGGATAAATGAATGACACACCAACAAATTACATCGTCTCGTCAGTCACGTTAATTAGGCGGTGTGCTCTTCATTGGTCATACGAGCCGAATAATCTCTCGCAGCTGCTTTTTACATGGGCCGTGCCTCCAGCTGAGTGCCCGTGCTCAAATGCAGTTCCCGTGAAGCTCGCTGCACGCTTGCAGACCACGCAGATCATACGTGGCTCCTGCAGACAGCGTGGCTTCAGTTTTACGAGTTGCAGCTGCCCTCCTGCTCTGCCCCTCTCATCCTCTCTCCTCCCGCCTCCGCCCCCCCCCCCCTCATCCTCTGTCTCTTCCTCTACATAATGCTGATAGAGAGCATGGGCATTGGGTATGAAATTAACAGCAGGTTCGACATTCACATATTCAGCAGATGTTCAAAATTAACGTCCCCAAACCCACATGTCACGCAGTCCTGGGTGTCATGACACCGAGGGACCTGAGAGAACCGTTAGACGCCCTGTCACTCTGTCCTGACCTTCCCCCCCCCCCCCCCCCCGGTACGTCTCCATCGATTGCCGGTCGGTCAGGCCGGCCACATAACGGTTCAGAATGGAAATCATCCCGTGGGTGTGCTTCTGCCACCACCGCCGCGCCGGTCTGACCTAGCACTGACAGCGTCGAACCGAACCGGAGACAATTCGTCAGCATTCAAAATTCCGGGAGCTCAAAGCGTAGGTATGTCTCATTTGAGAGAATTAAATTTGCAATCATATTAGTGAAGCTGTAACGGCTTTAACCGTTAGATCAAATCTATTCATCAATGTTACTTTTTCAAGTCATGGAGCGAGCTTTGAACTTACTACATTGTTGCCAAGTGAGATGACGATGACAAGTACCTACCTATGCACTGAAAATCAATTGGGAAGAGTCAGCTTGAGCTGGCTGTAATAACTATATCAACGTAAAGGCATCCCCTTTGCATGACGTCACGCCTTTGTTGCTATCTTTAGAAGTCACACGTCATGTGATATGCCTACGCCTCAGAAGGCATTGCCGTATAACATGTATCACCCAGTGTCGGGCTCGTGAATGACGAATGACGAATGTTTAGACTCGAAGCTTCCCGAGATACCCTTCCGCTGGTATATACAGCAAAGCTCAAACAGAGGCTTATGTGGTAGCTCGGGAACCACCGGTCTCTTGGGACTGTAAGGGCTCCGAGTCGTCGGCATGGGTCAGGGGAGGGCCGAACCCTGTCGGTATTAGAGGCAATCCATAGCTCTCGGTAACGTTTAGGGAGGGGACCCGATAGGGAAGTCCCTGGCCTTACATCTCAAGCTACACAAGCAAACAAGCACTATAAAACTTGCTCTAGAATCAATCATACGTACAACTGCATAACTGCACTTACAGTGTTGTACTGAGCTCTGAGATGTTTGACTCAGTGGACTATCCTCTCTCTGCGGTGCATCGGTATCGAACTCGACCGACAGGAAGGACCCCCTGGGGGGAGGGAGGGGCCGGAGCCTCTGCACGGCGCCACGGTGTCTGGTCCGCCGGGTGTGACACCATGACCCCGGGCGACCCCACCGACCCTTCCCGCCCTCTCCCGGTTCCGCTGCTGCTGAGGTGCAGGATTGAGTGACTCAGAAAGCCACAGTTGAGGCCAGAGAGGTCAGCAGGGTCCAAGGCTAGGGTGATATGATTGGCAGCGTTCATTGAATTTAACAAGAATCAAAGAATTAAATGAAGATTTATGACTTTAGATAGACCATGTGTGAATTTGCAACAAATATCGTTTAATGATGATGTAAATAGTAAATCAACTACTACAAATGCATCCAAACATATTCAAACAGATGCACAAAGCTTTCGGTTCATGGAACCTTGATCACTGTTTCCATGAACCGAAAGCTTTGTGTGTCTTTTTGAACATAGGTATGTGAATGCATTTGTAGTAATATGGTTTATTATTTACATCATCATCCAATCCGTCGTGGATATTCAACCAATGTCGTTAAGCCTCGAAGTCCGCACATTATCTAGTCGGATGGGTATGAATACTCGTAAGCAATAAACAAATGCATGATTGTTGCTATTTGAGTACGACTGCTGATCAATTTAATTCGGCGATAGAACTACTGAATTAAATTGCACATAGGACTACATAATTAGCTGTAAATTCTGTTACAGCATTGAGATAGCTGTTTGTTGTTCGAAAAGTTATGTCACTATTCATTTTTCAGAAACACTTTGCACATTCTCTCCTACCATTCCCTTTTCCAATGGTCGATTGTGTAATTGTCGCCGAAGAAATACGTCATCTTCCTCTTGGAAAGCCCAGTGGCAATTCCTAACTCCGAGAAGTAGCACCATCACTCCGATTGACAGTCAGTTGACCACAGCGGATGCCAGTAGCGTTAGTTACTTCTGTTCATTGTTATGCGATAGTGACACACGGAGGCTGGCCTCTCACTATCTCTGCTGCGTCCGCGTTCCCTGTCGACCTGAGGGAGTGACGTGTCTCCAGTAAAGTAATGAGAGCTGCCACCTGACCTGGTCTGGCAAGGTGACTCGTCGACAGATTTGATTGATCGGTGAACGAAACTCGAGCAGTAATCTACACGCTGCTGCACTCTATCCTCACATGACTTTTAACGCCCCTTGTGGCGCACCTGTGACCTCCATGCGACCTCTGTTGACGCGTGAAGCTGATGAAAATCAACCCTATCGCCATACGCGCCGCTGCAATAGAATATCGATAGCGCAGGATTGAGGTCGTCTCGCAGAATGATCCGTCATAATGATAAGAAACAGCTAGCTGTTGCGACGTGGCACGTGGCTTGGCCATCTCATAGAACGTCCACTTGTTTTTTATGCATTTCTGTATTCGACTGCGGTCTGTAGCGTAACCCTCGGGTGGTCATGCTTCGAGTTTTCGTTTTCGAGTTCGAGGTTAGAGTTTCGAGACACTGTCCAGCCGTCCGCCAGTGGCGGAAGGTGATCTCACTGGACACAGAACGGTATCCGTTCGCCGCCCACGCCTCCACCCCCGCTGCCTCTACCACTGCCGTCCGGCCCCAAAGTCCGACCGGATACAAATGTATCACAGACATAGCACGTAGCACGCGCAAAAGGCAGCAGGCAGCGGATGTTGGTGCATCAAACTTGCGGCTGACATCGAACAAACTTCAGGCGCCCGTAAACCATGGGGCGCTGGGGTTTCCAGTGAACAAGCTTTCAGCGACAGATGGACTGACACGTACCTACCCGCGATGATGTATATCTGTTATTGCCAGCAGTCAGTGGAAACACTAGCGATCGGCAAGCAGTTTATAGTTAACACTGGGTTAGTGTTTAGGGCGAGTGTAGGATTGCATCGCTTGTGTCTTTGAATAATAAACTGTGGCATTCTTCCCTGTGTGTTCGAAATGTTTACAGCGACTTTTTGATTTCGAATTGTTTCCTTTTTGGAAGTTTCCATGCATGCGTTTATAATAACGTGTTGTTATCAAAAAATCCTTTAAAGTTTAACCCTCGCATGTGTAGGGGGGTCGGATGGACCCCCCCATGGTTTTCGCGAATAACTCGCGTAAAAAGCGGCCGATCGCGACGAAACTTTCAGTACCCTCACATTGATCAATTTTACACCTACCCTGAAAATTTCATGACCCTGACCCAAATGACCTTTGACCTGTGACCTCTTTTCCGAGACCATGTTTGGCCGGAATCGCGATTCTGCGTATGTCGGCTCACATTAGCCGCGCGTTTGCAAGCTTTTCGTGGTTTCAAACGTTCAAACATGTGATTTGATGTTGCTTCCATGCATTAGGGTGGGTGTCAAGGTCACCTGAAGGTCAGGTCAGGTCATTGACCTTTGGTGACCTCGGGTGACCTCGGTTCACTTTTTCGAGCTGTACATGTTTCTAGGCTAGTTTTTGGAGCTGAATTCGAATTTAGCAACCATTTGAACATTTACGAAGTAGTTTTGGTGCCTTCGTAACATGTTACGAAGCTGTCAGAGGCGGTTGACACGTACTACGAATACCCGTCACGACGCCTACTGGTTGACCTGACCTGACCTGACCCGACCTGGTCTAAATGCTTAAAGACATCATCTGTGATCAAAACTAACACGATATTCGTGATCAGCGCCCCGGAAAACCACATAGCTGCCACACTTTACGACTTTCTAACAGGTCCCGATTTTCCCGGTTTTCGGGTCATTGACCTGACCTGGAAGGTCACCCGATGACTTAGGACCTTAAAATTGGGTATCATCGGCTTCCTCTCGTCACGGGCAACACGCTCGTTTTTTCCGCGAAGCTCTAGCTCAATCAGGGGCCAAACGGCAAGGGGGGTCCAACCGACCCCCCCCCCCCTACACATTAGAAGCTGGCAAACGCCGCACACATGCGAGAGTTAAATAACATTTGCATGCTGTTCATAATGACGCTTAAAATGTTAACCTGACAAATCCTCAATATTGTTAATTTCTTGTTTCAGAGCTGTGGGCCGTCATCAACAACGCCGGCGTCTGCATTCCCGGGGAGTTACAGTGGCTGACCTGGGAGCAGTGTCACAGGTCGATCCAGGTCAACCTGGAGGGGGCCGTACGCATCACCAAAACCTTCCTGCCGCTGCTCCAACAGGCCAAAGGTGAGGCGATATTTATCGTCGGTCACCTTCAGGTAAGGTGCAGAAATACGTCGACTTTGCGGGACTACCTCATAGTTAGTTTACTTCAGACACAGATGAAAAAGTGTTATAGGTACCTACTGCAGAAAATCATGTCATTAAATAAGAGCCACATGAAGATGGAGTAATGACAAAAGTAACGTAAAGCCCATTTTCTTTGAAGATTAAAACGCACAGCATCCTTGGAAAGTCCTTATATCGTGGCGGATTTATGAATGATAAGCTTTGCTGCCCTGCATTCCTGATTGGTAGACTGTGCCGCACTACATCACTGACTGGTAGGTGTACTGTGCCGCAATACATCCCTGATTGGTAGGTATGCTGTTCCACAATACATCCCTGACTGGGAGGTATACTGTGCCGCAATACATCCCTGATTGGTAGGTATACTGTTCCACAATACATCCCTGACTGGGAGGTATACTGTGCCGCACTACATCACTGACTGGTAGGTGTACTGTGCCGCAATACATCCCTGATTGGTAGGTATACTGTTCCACAATACATCCCTGACTGGGAGGTATACTGTGCCGCAATACATCCCTGATTGGTAGGTATACTGTTCCACAATACATCCCTGACTGGGAGGTATACTGTGCCGCAATACATCCCTGACTGGTATACTGTACCGCAATACATCCCCAACTGGTAGGTATACTGTGCCGCACTACATTACTGACTGGTAGGTACACTGTGCCGCACTACATCACTGCCTGCTAGATATACTGTACCGCACTACATCACTGACTGGTAAGTATACTGTGCCGCACTACATCACTGCCTGGTAGGTATACTGTGCCGCACTAAATCACTGACTGGTAGGTATACTGTACCGCACTACATCACTGACTGGTAGGTATACTGTACCGCAATACATCACTGAATAGTGACTGGTAGGTTTAGTGTGCCGCACTACATCACTGACTGGTAGGTATACTGTGCCGCACTACATCACTGACTGGTAGGTATACTGTGCCGCACTACATCACTGACTGGTAGGTATACTGTGCCGCACTACATCACTGACTGGTAGGTATACTGTGCAGCAATACATCACTGACTGGTAGGTATACTGTGTCGCACTACATCACTGCCTGGTAGGTATACTGTACCCGTACCGCACTACATCACTGACTGGCAGGTGTACTGTGCCGCACTACATCACTGACTGGTAGGTATACTGTACCGCAATACATCACTGACTGGTAGGTATACTGTGCCGCACTACATTACTGACTGGTAGGTATACTGTGCCGCTCTACATCATTGCCTGGTAGGTACACTGTACCGCACTACATCACTGACTGGTAGGTATACTGTGCCGCACTACACCACTGACTGGTAGGTATACTGTGCCGCACTACATCACTGCCTGGTAGGTATACTGTACCGCACTACATCACTGCCTGGTAGGTATACTGTACCGCACTACATCACTGACTGGTAGGTGTACTGTGCCGCACTACATCACTGATTGGTAGGTATACTGTGCCGCAATACATCACTGACTGGTAGGTATACTGTACCGCACTACATCACTGACTGGTAGGCACACTGTGCCGCACTACATCCATGATTGGTATACTGTATCGCAATACATCCCTGACTGATAGGTATACTGTGCCGCAATGCATCCCTGACTGGTAGACTGTACCGCACTACACCACTGACTGGTAGGTATACTATACTGGACTTCATCCCTAGTCGATAGGTTGTAACGCAGAACTGCCCCTGATGATTGGTCTAACGCATCTGTTGGAATTAATGATGAATGCTTCAAATATGTTTGACACTAAGTCCTGCATTTGTGAACTGCTGGCAAAGCATATGATCGAGTGGATTATTCGCGAATCCATCAGCGTCACGTTACGTTATGTTAATTTATCCAACAACGCTCTGGGAAATAATCAGTCATATTTTACATTTGTTTGGATGCCCAGAGCGTGCTATTTGCCATAACTTTGACTGTAGTCCGTGTGAACTTGTCAAAGTAACTGCCTCAATTTTCGGCACCATCTATCAATCTAGACTCGTTCCCGTCGTTATGTTACCTTCACGACTAGCTCGCCTTGGTCATATAATTAACGACAGGCCGGTTTCTTTCTTCTCACTCTCTCAATCTATCTTTCTGTTGTCTTGTCACCATAATCACGATGATAGTCGCTGATCTAACAGCCTTCCTCTGTGTCCGGCAGGTCGTGTGGTGTTTGTGACGTCATGTTTCACGGATGGCGGACTGCCGGGAGCTGGTCTCCTGTCGGCCACCTCGGCCGCACTGGACGCCCTGGCTGATTGCCTGAGACTGGAGGCGCAGGGACAGGTCAAGGTGTCTACGGTTCGACTGGGAGACTTCAGTCTGACCACCGGTCTTCTCAGCGAACATCACAGGTCAGTAACAGGTCGCTACATATGTAGCGTCATAAGTCAGTGACAAATCAAAGGGCGCACTGCAGGTCATCCATACTCGTATTGAAAGGTACAGCAAGGAGTACGTAACTCATTCTCGTATAACAGCGGTAGTCGTGGGTTACACATCGCACTTTAGCTCGTGATACTTTTTAGAACTTCGACCTAAATGACACCTTACCGTACCCTTTGACAATTTACGTATTACGTTTTATGCGTGATACAACCCGATCAGCACACAGTTGCACTCATCACATACCTTCTGGGTGGCCAAATTCCGCAGCCGTCTGTAACACAGCAGCTCGTCCTGCGGATAGCACAGGTCCCCGGTGCATTGGATTTCAGGCGTCTGCGTCCCAGGCGCAGGTCACAGTGGGAGCGGCCGGGTCAGTTGCATCACGCAGCACACATGGTGCACGGTGTTGATCATTGCTCACGTCTGCGGCGGCACAAGGGGCCTCAGTGAGTCACGGGGCCTCTCCAAACAAACGGGCCCGACGGCGCGCCCCGGCTGCACTCCATTCAAAACACGAGCACCGCAGGGACACCCTCGTCCCTCGTCCTCGGCCGCCCCGCGGGCCGCTGCGACACGCCTGCTGCTGATGATACCCCTCCAGCCGCCTGCATGTCTACTTCGTGACAGACGGGGTCGATGAACCGGGTTACGAACAGGGTGTGGCACCTCTCGCTACTAAGCTTGAAGTTTTAGTAGTCACTAGTCTGTCTCAATCGACTCTTAAACTTATCGACCGTCAATGGAGCCCCTGATATTTGCTGTCAAACCATGCTTCAAAAGAAACTCTGAAATTACATTTGGACAAGAATAACTTGCCATCTCAGCCGAGTCCGATGATATTAGACCAAATCACCAGCACATGTTACTCGACTTTGGTCGTATTGCCCCACTTCCCTACCGACCACCGTTTCCTTTATTCCCACGATATCAGACACGAGCTCATGACAAATGTTAAGAGCCAGCTAATGACCTGCTATGCGCGGTCAACGACAGGCTGTTAGCGGAGGTGTGGTGAAAACATCGCCATTCACCAGTGAAATGTTACACTTCCCATCAGTTGTGGTCCTCCCTTACCTCCGTCAGGACCAGTGTAGATAGTGCTCCAAACCGTCGCTCCTTGACCATTGTGCCCAGCTGTGCCCTCCCTGACCAGTTTATCGGTACGTCCCCTCTCTGACCGCAGTGTCCGTCTGTTCCAGGGAGGTGGCCGCCATGCGGGCCGCCCTGCCGGACGCTGCCGAGGTGGACAGGTTCTCCGCATACCAGGACGCGGTAGCCAGCCGCGGACTGACGCTGCGCTCCGCGGCGCCGCCCCAGCCCCTCCCCAAGACCGTGTGCGCTGCCTTCGAGGACGCCCTGCTGACCCGGCGCCCCCTGAGGGCCTACCAGGTGACCGAGGGCGTCGGCGCCCGGCTCGGCCGCTGGCTGAGGGCCCGGCTGCCCTCTGACCTGCGAGACGCCCTGGTGACCCGCCGCTTCCGTCGTCAGCTACCCAAAGTGACGCACCTGTAGAGGGCACCGGTGTGCCGACCGGCGCGGCGGCGGCGTCACCGGCAGCGTGAAACAGCTCCCTTGGGGTACGGAGACGCGTCACGCTCGCAAAAGCACCGCCAGAGGCCTGCTACGTCTTCTACCACCAAATAAACATCAACCCCGGATCCACTCTGGACACGGTCCGTGCCGGCGGCCGCTGCAGCGTACAGAGGCGGTCAGAGCTGTTTGAAATAGTCACCGGACCGTGCTGCCGCGGTTGCCGTCTGCCGGACGTCACAAGATAACACAGCGACTGTTTGGGCCGGACCCTGCATGTGTACCTTAAATATTGTATCCACGAGGCATGTCGCTAGATAAAGATAGGATTAGGTAGCCGGTGCATGCTGTTTTACTCCGGTGTGTGACCTTTCATCGCGTTTCGGTAGGCTACATGAACTTTTACTTCGGTTTGCAGAACTTATATTCGACTCATCAGATCGGCATGCATTATCACTAGACGCAGATTATTACGGTTTTGGTAAAGGTAAAATTGGTATTTTAGCAATATATATATTAGGCAAGGATTTAGCAATTTGTCCCCGTTCTCAATAAGTCCTGGAAATGAATGCTCAATCGTGTAGGTTATACTTTCGGCGATGCTCCATCAAGTAGCACACTAAGGTAGCTAGTAGTAAAGGTTGCTGGAAATGACAAGCCATTAATAACACGAGTGATGCTAACGTGCGTTTGGATGTGCTAATTGCCCTTGTGAGGAGGGATAGCAGATATGTTGTGAAATGTGCTGTGCTGAATGGTAGGCTATGTGGAACAAACCGTGGTGATAATGCATGGATATTGGATAGTGTACTGTAATGTGCTGGATAGTGTGCTGTAATGTGCTGGATATTGTGTTGTAATGTGCTGGTTGTGCTGCAGTAGCGTGAAGAGGCTAGCTCGAACGGAAATGTGATTTTAGGCAGCTGCTGCATTGCTCGAATGCGAGTCTCCGATACATTTGACTAGGTGACTGTTTTAGTGATAGTCCATAAGCTCCATTTTAGATGGGACGGCCCACCTGGCCCCGGCCGTTCTATTCATCTTGGATGGCCGACTTTTGTGCCGATTTAGAATAGGATAATCATATTGAACTGAACAGGACAGATATTATCTCCTGTGCGTTTCGAAGACGCGTTGCCACCGCGATGTCTTATTTCTTTTTGTATCGGTGTTTTCCCTCTGTTTCGGTGTTAGTGTACTGTAGACCCCACCCGCACTCCGCTGACCCGCGCACCCAGGATGGGCGCAGACGGCGTCACCCCGTCACCCGTTACGCGTCACACACTACTTCAGTGGAGACCACAGGCCGTTGGTCCGCCCTCTCCGGCTTTGATGTACCCAAATAAACGATACACAGCCAGACAGCGATCTCTCACATATGTATTAACAATGTCAGCCATCCGCCAGAGACTGACAGCACTTAGTGCTTACGCGAGCAAACATCCCCTGCTAGGTAGCCCGTGCGTACGAAGCTGTAAGCAGAAGTCAGAGCCGGGCGGGACCCCGACCACCCGTGAGAAGCGAGGCACCGGCGGCGGCCGAGGCTCGCTGCCTGCGGGAGGTCGCCCAGGCCCGCGCCGACGGCGGCGGTAGCATGAAAGCACCGGCACCGCACATTTGAGGAAGCGGCTCAATGTCAACAGCTCTAAGCGTTCAGATTGCCACCGAGCTCCCGGAGTTCGCAGATCCGTGGAGCCGGTGGACCCTAACAAACCCTCCCAAAACAGCAACTCTCAGTAACGCGCGCAGGCTCGGTCAGAGGATCTGAACTAGTCAGACTTTGCGCCGAGGCCTGCGGTGCCAGGATCACATCGCTGGCAACAAGCTGCGTTTGACAGGCGCGGGGCAGCCGGCTGCCCAGCCTGCCCCAGCGGGCCCGCACCCATTGGAAGCCACAGAAATCACAGCCAGTGGGCGTGGTGACATCACACATCACCACGAGGTAGTGACGTCATGAGTCACCACACGTTGGTGACGTCATATCACCACGGGAGCGATCTACGCTCGTGAGGCACACAGTATCGCGTAAGGCACACACTATTTCAGGCCCGGGCGGCGCGGCGCTAGCCGGGTTCGCACTGCGATCAGGATCGGCCGACCGGCGGCTCGAGCGTCGTCCGTGCGCTAGCACATGCGGCCGTAGCCGGCATAATTTTGGCCGTAGCTGGGGCCGTAGCCGGCCGGGTACGGTGTCTGGGCAGGCGCCGGGGCTACCGGTCCACAGTTGTAGTACCCATAGCCGTCCGGCTGGCTTACCGGGGGCGGCATGTAGCCACCCTGGCCTCCATACATTGCGCAACCAGCGCCCGTAGGACTGCCCATGTTCATCTTCACGGGCTGGTGCTGGCCGGCCGGTGACAGCAGCGCCCCCTGGCCGCTGTGTGGCGCCACCATCGCGGCGCACGCCGGCGGAGAGAGCATCATGGACGCGCCGCTGCCGGGCGGACTGTAGAGCCCGTACCCTGAGGTGCTGGCGGGCCGACCGCCGGCGCCGGCGCAGTACCCGGGCGATACCGAGGCGGTTGGCGACGGCGTCATGGCCGGGTTAGCCATCACCGAGCCGCCGCACGGAAATCCACCACCGCCGCCGAACGGCAGCGCGCACGCCGCCGACTCGAGCGCCATCTCGCCGACGCTGCTCCAGCTGCACGTGCTGCTGCCGGACGGCCTCCTCTCCGAGTCGGGAGAGGTGAGAGGAGTGAGCGGAGAGAGCGGCCGCGGCACCTCCGGCGGAGGGGTATGGTTACACCGCGACAGGGCAGCTGCCGTGCTGTCGGCGCAGGCGCTCGTGCAGCAGGGCAGGTGGGAGGATAGTGCCGAGACCAGCTGACTGCGCTCCTGCAGCAGCTGGATGATCTCTAGCCGGAGCGAGTTGTGCTGGTTCACCTGGCGCTCCGAGTCCTGTGGAGACAGAGGGGAGGGCATTGTTAGAGGGCTGACACGAGAGGGAGAGGAGGGAAAAGTCTGAGGGCTGGTATGGGAGGGAGAGGAGGAAACGATCAGAGGAAGGGAGGGAACGGTCGGAATGCTCGTATAAGAGGGATGGGAAACAATAAAAGGGGACGAAGGAGAGGGACCTTCATTGGTCTACCGCGACTTGGAGCCTAGCAAGGTAACAATGACGTGGAGGTCGCACTAAAAGAGGCTTCATCCGACAGTATACCAGTCACGTGGCTCACGTGTCTACTCGGTTTGGTTCTAGATAACGATTATGGCTGGGGTTTGTTTTATTGTTTTGTTGGGTTAGGCCCTTTCGGTCGACAAGACCATTGCAGAGCCGGAAGGATGATAGGAATTAGGGGGAGACATTGGTCTGGGCAGGCACCCTAGTGAGTCGCCGGGGCTGAGCCCGTATGGCTGGGGTACAAATTCCAACGCATGGCTCTAGCAAGTCACACTAACTCGAGTGAGTGCAAACAGCTTATCAGGCACTTCGTGGGGCCGGCGTACTAACACCTTTCTTGCAACGACAGCCAGAAAATCCATCGTTATCTATAAGAATAAACCCTTAATGTACATCTCATGCTCCACAGTGCATTCCCAGAATGAGCGGATTCAGTTGAACCAGGGCGCACCAGACGTTTGATCCCAAAACTATAGTTTCGTCCATCAGCCGCCAGGTGTCCCTACTCCCCTCCACCAGATGTCACTAGTATTCCAGATCACGTCATCGGCCAAGGCCACGCGTGGGCCGCTGCACCCGTCCGGCAACCTGTTCGGTGGGTCGGGGGGAGGTAGGGGGGGGGGGGCAGAGCAGCGGTCTGCGGTCCCTACGTCACAGTGACGTCAACAGGGGCGACTGCCGGCCGGGGAGGGGCGGGGAGGGGCGGGAGGACGTCCGTTGGAACGGCTGGCTTCCCATGCGGTCTGGGGGGCGGGGAGGGGCAGGGGTGATAGTGGAGTGACCGGTAGGGTACGCGGGTGGGCGGATTGGCAGCGAGAGGCGGCACGCGGCTCGAGAGAGAGCGATGCAAGGATAAAACACGCCAGGTGTGAGGTGTAGGAGCACGGCCAATTCGGCAGCACGTGTCCACGGCCTTGAACCTTGGGCGATTGTTTTTGCCTCGGTTTCAGAGCCTCTCGCTACGGAGGAAACAACACCTGACAACAAGCCTGTCTGAATTACACCCTGCCCACGGACAGCCATCATCTCTTGGTGCTGATTCCCCGAGACTCACCACAATCAGGTGCTGTGTCTCGATCTTCTTCTTGTTTCGACACTTTGTGGCGGCCACCTTATTTCGCTCCCGACGCCGCTGGCGACGCGCCTCATCGACAGACGTCAGCTGAAACAGGACAGAGAGGGACGTCAGTATACGCCGGATACATCAGTAACGTCAGCAGGCGCCAGATACATCGGTAACTCAGAGGCGTCAGTATACGGCAACTGAACTATCTCAGTGACGTGAAAGACGTAGGTACGTCACTACGTCAGGTATGTTTAGTTATTGTACATGTTCTAGTGTGAGCGTGCTGCACGCCATGGAACAACACGGGAGTCACGGGCTCCCGTCACGGTCCGACATCGGAAACATAATCCGCAATGTCCGGCCCACAGTGCTATCGCTGTTTTACGCTCAGCCACAACACACATCGTGCCGACATTTCCTTACAAGGAGTGCTCAGCACCGTAGCATGTTTACGGCTAGTCAGAGGCCCTCAGTAGTGGTCTGGCTGCACCCACGGGGCAGGGGAGGTCCTACAGGGGGGGGGGGGGCTTGGAGGACCGTCCGACACGGGGCCGGAGGACATCTTCTGATGACACCGACCACACCCGCCAGACGACGCCGAAAGTAAACATTGTCGGCGGCTAAAACAGGCCCCATTGTGGGCAGGGGCCCGGGAACGATTTTCAAGTTGGGGGGGCGAGCCTAAAATACCTGACATGATGCATATGAAACAGTGGCGTAGCTAGGGGTCTAAGGGGACACGTACCCCCCCCCCCCCCATCGGGATAAAGGGGACCCTCGGGTCCGAGGGGCCCTGCGGCGCCATTTGACCGCTGAGGGTTAACGATGGCCATATTTCTACTCAGAAGGGCCCCATGGGGCTCGTCAGAGCACCTCATGGGCCCTAAATAGCCACACTAAGATCTCCATAAGGGTCCGACGCCGGCGTCTGAGGGCCTCTTGCGGCTTTTAAGGACACCTCGGTGATCTCCAAAGGCCCGTTACTGGCCTCTGAGAGGTCTTACCGGCCTATGAGGTGCCAGTTCTAGGGGCATTTCCCGCCTGTGATGGTCCCACACTTAATTTTCTGAGGGCCCCATAACGGCAACTGTGGGGCCCTCGTCGGCGCCTATGAGGGCCTGTCTCTAAGGACCCCACAGGACTTCTTCTGCCGGCGTAAGGTCCCCGTGCCGGTCACTGAGACTCCCTGCCGGCTTGTAGAGAGTTCGCGTCAGCAGCACTAAAGGTCCCACACCCGTCTGTAACGGCCCCACATCAGCGTCTATGAGGATCCACAGCAACGCCTGTAACTTGTAAGGACCCTCATCGGCGCCTCTGAGAGAATCACACTAGCACCTCTGAGCGCCCACACCGGCACCTGCATGGCGGCCCCACACCAGTGCCTCTAAAGGCCCCTTACCGGCGGCTCTGAGGACCCTACGCCGGAGATTCTAAGGGTGCTACCGATAACCGAAGGCACCACACAAGCCCTTAGTGTCGCTGAGCTTTAATCCCATACCGGCCCTCCGAGGGCGCCACGTCAGTGCACTCATTGCCCCACACCCCTCCATCACATCCGGAGCGGGTAAACTGTGTTATACCTATAATAGCAACGATTTTACCACCGTTGTACGTTATGTATTTCTTAAAGTTGACTCAAGCTGGTGCAGTATAAAATCTGGCCTGCCAAACTTATGGCCACGATCAGGCCCAAATCAAAGCGGGATGACAATAGTCAATAGCAGATGTTGTCAAATCGATACCTACTGTATCAGCAGAAACCATTCAGATGGCAAGGAAAATGCCATGTGTTGATGCGTAGATGTATGAAGGAAAGAAGAAGGAAAAAAGTCCGGAAAAGGGATGAAAGATCTTTTCTCGCTGCCTCAATGTTGAGGGGGCGCCGCCCCCTCGGCTCTCAAGTTGGGGGGGCAAGCGCCCCCGCTGCCCCCCCTGTTCCCGGGTCTATGATTGTGGGCGCTTCAAGTGCCTCTGTACACGGCTCTATCACGTCCGTTACGGCGCCGGCGGACGGCCCGACCGCAACTTCCGCGGCGGCGAGTTCACAGCGCATCCGGCGTCCCCACCGAGCTGTCTGAGCGGCGAGACAGGCGGGCGTCGGTCCTCCGGGCGGGGGTGTGCGACCCGGCGGCCTCCTCCCCGCCGCCCCTCCCCCACCAAGGGCGCCGTTCC